GAGGAGTCAAAACAGAACCTCAGATGAGGTGGGAGGAGTCAAAACAGTGCCTCAAATATTATGGAAAGGGTCATATTTGAGGTCCAGATACAACATGAGTCACCAAAACACAGCCTTGCAAAAGATGGGAGGAATCAATGTAAAGTACATGCAAAGGGGCGGAGACTAATCCACAGTGGGCGGGGTCAAGGCTTAGACTCATCCATGTTTACAGGAGTCAAAACAGAGCTTAAGGCAAGGTGGTAGAAATCAAAGTAGAGATTCAAAGAAGGTGGGGGGAGTTCCAACAAAATGTCAGAAAAGGTAAGAGGAGTCAAATCAGAGACTAATTAAGGCATGAGGAATTAAAGCTAAATCTAAGGAGAACCAGTACAAGGTTGATAAGAATATACCGCCACACCACTATCAAAGCATCAGAAGCCTTTGCTCATCTGTTCCAGTACACTGACAAATTGCAGCAGAATCATAAAAACAAGAGCAAACTTTTATATATTTATCCGGAACAAAATCAATTCCATTCCAATCCATCCATCCATCCGCTTCCATCCACTTCCATCCACTTCCATCCATCCATCCATCCATCCATCCATCCATCCAAAATCTTTTACAGCCTTCCCCAGTTTGTTCAAGCTTACTGGAATAATTTCAGAAACTACCAATGTGTACCATACCATGTGTTGCATTTGGGGAAATACAATGACTCGTTTTGTGATGAGTGTTCTATAAAGAGGCCAAAAAATAAAAGCTCTCATTTACCTTAACATCCACCAGTTTCAGAGGTTGCTACAGTGACTCGGGATGGTCACTTGAGCTGCTGTACTGTATGAGTTTGTTGGATCAGCTCACTCTCACATGTGCGGTTGTTCTCATTCCCTGATGTCATCTCACACCTTTCCACTGCAGCAAGGACAAAACACACAGAAACACACATCATCATGGTGGTCAAAGTTTGAGTCTCATCCTCACTGAAATACTGTGATGAACCTTACGAGAGCTTTGCAAAACAAAATCTCAACGAACTGAAGCAATGTTGGAAAGAAGAGTGGGCCAAGATTCATACATAACCATGAGACTAACACTAAAACCACTAAAAGATTAAAAGAAGTTCTAAAAAAGCTGCTGAATCAGGAGCTGGACACAATTTTTCAGTAAAAACCCAATAAATATGTATTATGTCCTGATACAGAAAACAGTAGAACGGAAAAATGATAGTCTTTGTTTTTCGCAATAGCTTACAGAAAATTAAAGGATTCAAGGTTCTTTACTGTCATTCACATCGCATGTGGTACATGAGGTGGAACGAAACTATGTACATAGGATCCCGGTTACATCCAACAAAAATACAAATTGTAAAGAAAAACAGTAGTAAGATGCAAGACATGAAAAGAATACACTAAACTAAAAATACACTAAGCACTACTAGTACAAATCAATACGCCAAACAGCAGCAGCACAAATATGAGTATGTGTGAGCAGATAAGGATGAATAAACACAGCAACAAGAAATAAATCAGCAGCATGAGATCAGCAGCATGGATAGTCAGCAGCACATTTCAACAACCAAGTGGCATCACATAGATTTTTTTTTTCACAGTAACTTTCACAGTGACAATCCTGACTAGGGATTCATGAGTCTAACAGCCTCAGGGTAGAAGCTGTTCCTTAGAACAAGGCCTTAAATTGACAAAATGTTTATATTTCCTGCCAGTTGTAAACTAAAATCATCCTCGGTTGAGAAATGACAGTAATACCCAATTTATTCAAACCTTGAAAATGACTTAATGCACCATCTCAATAATGTAACGATGAAAGATCTGTTGGTGCTGCGATGATTTGTTGACAATGAACTTCAAGCGTGGCTTGACCTTGTGAAAACAACCACATCAAAATTTTGGCTCAAAAATGACCGAGTTATAGACATTTTTGGTAAATTACTTGAGTCCATTATCTAACATGAAGTTGACTCCAAAATTTAATAAGCAGTATGCCGATGTTCCTCATTGCAGAGGGATTTGAATGTCTGTAGTTTTTGAGATAAGTGTTTTTCTGGACTGGAACTGAACTAAAATCAGCTGGACGACAGACTCGTTTTTCGAGCGGACCGCTGCAGCGAAGTAATGGGGAAATTGAGGAGAGGCCAAGTATGCATTTATGTGAGTAAAAGTTGGTGCACGAACTGTACGCTGATAAAAACCGTCATTGCTCCAAGGCTTTGGAACAGCTAACAGTGAAATGCCAACCACATTATCTACCCCGCGAGTTCACAGTCGAGTTCATAGCAGCTGTTTACATAGCTCCGGATGCTCATGCTACCGACGCTCTGTAGGAGTTGCGTGATCCAACAATTTTCAGTCAGGTCATCTGGACAGTTTCTATTTTTTTTTTTTTTTTCTGAAACGTTTCACCTTCCATCCGGAAGACTTCATCAGTCAAGGAAACACACAACAAAACTGATTCTCCCCCCAAACAGCTTACTCCAAAGTGGAACAAACCAGGGGCATTAAGTGCATAACAGATTATAAAAGCAGAAGTGAACAATGCCCTAGAGGCCCATCACTGCCTGATGCCCTCAACAAGTTCTACGCATGTTTTGAAGACCTGAACAGACCACCCAGCACCAGACTCACCTCACCACTGAAAGAAGAGCTTCTCAGCGTGACCTCAGCAGCAGTAAGGAGTACTTTCAGGTTGATTAATCCTCACAAAGCAACCGGGGCTGACAACATCCCCGGAAAGGTGCTGAAAGAATGTGCCGATCAGCTCTGAGAGGTGCTGGCAGACATCTTTTAACTCCTCGCTAACCCTGGCAACATTTCCCACCTGCCTGAAGACCGCAACCATCATCCCAGTCCCAAAGAGCTCTACAGTGACTGGTCTGAATGACTACCGGCCAGTAGCCCTCACCCCAATAATCGCTAAATGCTTCAAAAACCTGGTCATGACCCACATCAAAACAACCATCAACATTATCAAGGACCCTCACCATGGATACCACGAGAATCAATATAATAAAGACGACATCTCCTCTGTGGTCCACACTGCTCTCAACCACCTGGAGCAGAAGGACTCCTACATCCGTATGTTCTTTGTGGACTTTACGTCTGCCTTCAACACCATGATCCTCCAAACACTGATGGACAAACTACTCACACTAGGACTAAGCCCCTCCATTTGTAACTGGGTCCTAGACTTGTTAACAAACAGACCACAGTCTGTGAGGATCCACAACTTCTCCTCCTCCACCATAACCCTCAGCACTGGCTCTCTAAATCTAGACGTGGTCTTGGCTGGATCAGACAGAACTGATTTTGATGCACTTCAAATGATCAAAAATCTGCACCACATTTATGTACAATTATCATGTATTCAAAGTATTGAAATGTTGAATTTTGTTTGCATTTACATTAGGCACAGTGTTGATAACTGATTTATAAACGAGCAGGACTCCGAAGCGCTCCGAAGGAAGTTGAATAGTTAATATTTGCCATGTGAGTTTTTTTCTGGACTGGAACTGAACAGGGGATGCAAGTAAAACTTGTCTGTGTCTTTATGATTTAGGGCATTAGCCTTGTTTTCTCTTTGTGTTGTGTTCATTTTATCTGTCTTGTAGGATTCTTGTGTTTTGGTTCAGCTCTCGTGTTTTCTCGCTAGTTCTCATTTTCGCCCTCGGTCAGCCTGCTCAGTTTTTCTTCAGTCAGCTGGTCACTCAGTCCTGTTCCCTGTTGGTAATCCCCCAGGTGCTGCTACTTTCCACTCACCCACTGCCCTGTTTAAACTGTCTCTTATCACAACGCAGGCAGTGGCTCATTGTCCTGGCTACAAGCTTGATGCGTCCGTCCTCCCTTGTGTTCCCCTGTGCTTTGTTGCTGCCACATCAGCCTTTACCTTTGGTTTATTTAATAAATAAGATTTTATTTTAGCTAAGCTCTTTGTGTCCGCCTGCATCTGGGTCCAACCCGACACCGACCACGATACCTTAACGTTTTTGGTGCAAGACATTCAAATGTCAATGAAAATACGCGGTGTAGAAGAAAATAGTTTTTCTGTCCAACAACGTTCAGTCAGGTCATCTGGACAGTTTCTTTTTTTTGTTGAGGCGTTTCGCCCTCCATCCGAAGGACTTCATCAGTCTGAGAAGTCACAAACTGTTTTCCCCACTAACCCATCAGACATCTCAGACTGATGAAGCCTTTCAGATGGAGGGTGAAATGTCTCAACAAAAAAAAGAAAAACTGTCCAAATGACCTGACTGAACACTGCTGGATTTTTTTTTACCTGGATGATTGAATATGAACTTTGATAGGTTTTTCTTCTTTTTCTTCCGTACGTTTTTCGGCATTTAACTACTCCCACAGTTTTTGTGCTATTTCAATAAATTATATATCCAAACATCCTGATGCATGCTCAATAATCCAGGTAGAACAATCTAAAAACGTTAAATCTGGTCCTCTGGACATTCAGTAAAAACAAAACAAAACAAAAGATATTGTAGAAACGTTTCTACAATTCACATGATTTCAATTGCATAGTGCTAATTTCTGCCTGTTTCAGCCTTAGTGGGCACAATTAAGCTCCCTCCACTTTAAGCTTCTTTCTACATTTTTTAGCTACTATTCAGCTGTTTTATAGGAAAAACTGCGATAACTGCCATTTTTACAGCTATTCAGCTGAATCTTGGCATGTTGGTAGCTGACAAAGGTCCCTAATAGACTCTGATTGAAAATCAAAAATCCAAGATGGCCACCTTAGCAAAAAAGGAAAAAAATACTATAAATCAGCCAATTATAGTCATATTGAGCTGAAAGTTTGTGTAATTATAGCTGACGGTGTTTCCCATCAAATGCTGCATGAAAATCAAAAATCCAAGATGGCCACCAACAATACTTTTGTATGGATTTAATTCAGCCATTTTTTTACATACAGAGCTAAAATTTGGTGAAGTTATAGCTGAGCACGTACCCCGTCACACACTGCATCCACATCAAAAATCCAAGATGTCCATCTTAGCTAAAAAAGGAAAGAAAACAATAACTCGAGCATTTTTAGAACTATTTAGCTGAAATTTTGTGTAGTGGTAGCTGATAGCAAACCCAAACGCATAGTACTGTCAGATCAAAAGTTTACATTGGCAGCAGCCTGGCAGTCCATTACATAAGGAACGATTGTGCACGTTCTGCTTCCTTCTGATATTTGAAGCTTCATTTTGCTATTTTAAGCTACTTTTCAACTGTTTTCTTGACATTTGTAAGCAAGAGGCATTCACACTTGCATTTTTGCAGGAAATGCAAATTCTCTGGTTTACTTATGTTTTGCTTGTTCAAGGCAGCGCAGAGTGATGGATCCTGGCGAGTGAAAGGAGTAATTTTGTCCACTACCTGGAGCAATGGAGGAGCTAGGGGGTGGCCAATGGTGGCCATGCCCACCATAGAATAATCTTTGACCACACCCCAATCATTTTTGAGGAAACTATATACTTTTACATAATATAAAACTAGAAAGTATGGTTTCCTCAAATGATTGAGATGGCTGATTTACAAACATAGATGGTGGCAGCCATCTTGGATTTTGACATGGCAACCCAATTTTCAATAGCAACTTTACTTACGCCTAGATGCAGCTACACACCAAAATGGAAGTTGGCACATTGCTTTCACGTTATCTAGCTTGCAATGTTTACATAGATCCATATATTGCAGCAGCCATCTTTGAGCTTGGCGTGTAAACCCAATTTTCAAAAGGAGCCTTTCTTACACCTAGACGTAGCCACACACCAAACTGGAAGTTGGTACCTCACTTATTTTTTACGTTATCATGCTCACAACATTCACGGATGGTCATATGGATGGAGGGGATTTCCAACTCCCGCTCTTCATTTTGCAACAGTTGAATGAAAGCTGCAGCAAAACAAAACTAACAGCAATGTTGTGGCAAGTTATACTACAAATCACACGCTCACCATGCCACCTAAACATGACAAAATTAAATCACAAACATGAAATGGCTCCTCCTACACTCAAATACCCCAGGAGTGAGAAATGTGTCTCTCCAAGCTGATTCATAGGGAACATTAACATAACCAGGGACAGTGGACATTCAGAAACATCACTGGTAAGAGTTGTCAAAAAGCCTGTTTGTCCTCAGTGGACACTAAACAGGTGTTATAAAGACAGGTCATCAGCCTCCTGCAGGACTAGAATAGAACATTGCACATAGATATAATTAACTTAGAATAAGTATTTACATGTCCTAGATGTTTTCAAAATGTTGGAGGAAACTGGAGTACCTGGAAAAAAAACCATAAGCATGGAGAGAGCATATAAAGTGGACACACCGCAAGTTTTGAACTTGAGACTCGTTCAGGAGACGGTAGTAATCAGTTACACCATGCAGCCCAAATTATTAGTCCTTTACAAAATAAGTATTTTAGGTTGTATAACATAACAAAGGTCGGGTAAAATGAGCATTAGATCACAACTTATGGACAACAACACAAACTGCAGCTGAGCCTGTGCAGCATACATCCAGTGTGATGTGATCCAGCAGGGACTTCAAAAGTCAGAGGGACAAAAGCTGAGATGATGAAAAGCCACAGAAACAGTGCATCTGAAGAACAAAGAGGTGCTGGTGTGTGAACCCATAAGCTGTTTTTAAAAATGTGTGACTGTGAGTCAGAACTGATCACAGTTTATCAGTAAATCAGATTCATGCTTGAAATGGTTCAGTCGTCGTTACTGTACAGGAAGTAAAAGCTCAGAAGAAGATGGTTTGTCCCCCACCCCCCTTCAGCGCCGCAGTAAACAGAGATGGTTCAGTACCTGTGTCCATGCAGCTCAGGTGTTCAGGTGAGCAGCAGAGCTGGATCATCGTATTGGAAATCCCTCTGTATCAACCCTCCAGCATCCAGGGACAAAAACCCATAGGGAGCACAAAGGCTGAGCCGCTGTCCTCTGAATCCACCGTGCAGACACCGAACATCTACAGTTAAATCAGAGGAAACATCCACAACCTAAAACATCTTATCCATTCCCTTCTTTCTCCTTCCTCACTCTCCTTTTCTCTTTCTGTTCTCCCAACGTCTTTCAGCTCACTGATTCTCCATCTGTCACCGCCTACTCTCCATCACCCCTCCCACCTCATCCATTATTAATGAAACACACACACACACTCCACTGCTCACGCTCACACACACACACACACACACACACTCCACTGCTCACGCTCACACATTTCTGTTGCAAAGTGTGAACAAATGTCCAGAATGCTCATGCAAGTCAAATACCAGGGACCTGTTGGAGGTCTTGTCTTCTGAGTCAGGTTTTTACAAATCTTTATGAATAAAATTATATATATCTTATCATGTAATTATTACGTCACTGTATATTTCTTGTGGTACATTAATAAATATATTTAAATTGAAGTAACAAGCTTTAAACTGTCTAAAAAGATTAGCAAAGTCAATAAATAAAACTGGCTGTCTGACATAAAAATAAAATATTTAAACCAAAGTTTCAAAGATTAAAAACTCTTCTTGTGCAACCAGTTTGTGCTCAAAGTAAAGGTTGGCGATGAGTCTCAGTTACTACCACCTTAGCTCAATATGTGTAAAACAAACTGAGGCTAAGCCATGGTTTGGTTGGGCCAATTAGCTGTGGTCACCATTTTGAATGGGTTTCATACAAACGATAATTAGATGTAGATGTGCAGTACATCAAATTACTTTAAAAAATGTTATTAAAATGAATCCAGTGGTTCATCAACAGAACACACATGATCAAAAACATGACTGACTTGGCTTTTTCCCTTTGGCAGTGGGTTATAATGAAACTGAAGAGTGAGAGCCTGAGAGTCAGCAGGACGAAGATGATAAGATGATGAATGAGCAACTACTATTTTGGAGTGGATTTTCAATTTACAGGTCGCAATTGGCATGACGCCATCTGTCAATCAATCGAGTAGGCTTGTCAGCAACGGACCAATCGGCATTCTCAATTTGTCCCGAAGCGAAACACCAGCTCCACCCCCTTTCCCCCTCAGGTTTAAAATCAGGCCACAGCTCAGAGACAGCCCTTTGAAGAGTTTTTAATGAATGTCTTTTAGCCATTGATGCAGGAAGCTCTGCTGTTTTAGACCTTTCTGCTGCCTTTGATACTGTGGACCACAACATCTTGTGGTCACGACTTGAGCAGGTGGTCGTATTAAAAGCACGGTTTTATCCTGGTTTAGATCCTACCTGACTGACAGGAGTTTTTCTGTTTATTTAGGTGGGGTCCCTCAAAGGTTTATTTTAGGTCCACAGCTTTTTAATCTCTACATGTTGCCTTTGGGGTCCATTTTTAGAAAACACAACATCCCTGTTCATTGCTTTGCTGATGATATACAGTTGTTTTTGACCATTAAGTCAACAGGGTCACTTCACTGGAACCACTCTTGAACTGTCTAAATGACATTAAAGTCTGGTTAAAACTAAATTTTCTGAATTTAAATTAAATTAACTCATCAGCTTTGGTAAATGTAACACCCTTGACACTCTTGGCCTCTTGGCTTCATACAGCCACTCCACTGTCAGGAATCTGGGAGTTATTTTAGATAGTACTTTTAAATTAGACACACAGATAAATGCAGTTGTAAATCCAGTTTCTTCCAACTAAGACTTATGCCAAGGTGGTCTTGTCTCCTGTTCAGAGACCCTGAAAAGGTGATTCATGCTTTTATTACCTCTATTGTAATAAAATTACAAATTACTATTGTAATTCATTGTAGGATGGTTTAGAGCAGACATGGCCAAACCCCGGCCCGTGGGCCATATATGGCCCATTGGGCTTTTTAATTGGCCTGCCGAAACTGTCCGAAATGTGAACAATTAAAAAAAATTAAAATAAATTACTTTATTTTTCAGGGGTGCTGGGCTAAAATGTAGGGATGCTTAAGCACCCCCCAAAAAGAGGTTAAAATAGCCACTGGTCCAAATTATATTTAAAAAGCTGCATTTAATAGGAAACAAACTGGTGTCGTTTTACCTGTAGTTCCCATATTTTCTCAGTAGAGGCGCACTACAGACACTGCTGTGTATTAGAGGCCAAGTAACCGTAGAGAATAATTTCTTCTTCTTCACTTTTATTTCACTTTGTCCTACGAACTCATCTGTAAAAACGAGCTTATCAAAGAAAAGAAAAGTGTACCGTTAGTGCCGAGTGTTTAATATGGAGTGGACAACAACATATTGTTTCACCGAGGTCCAATCAAAGGCAGTTTTTATGCCAAGAAACTGCTGCGGTTTTCAAAGAGTACACTTTGCTAACTGCTAACTATGCTAGCAAGCCTTTCTCCGAAGGCGATTTTTTTTTTTAAAAGAAAGCATGGTAAAAAAACAGAGCAGGTCTATTGTGTCCAGAGGAAGTTAGAAAAAAATCAGTTTATCACGCATGACTGTGACTCGCCTTGTGGAACTGATTGATGAAGATATAGCCAGAAAAATAAGCTAAAAGGCAGAGTCCTTTAAGTTACGGTATTCGTTAGCACTGGATGAAAGTAATCATGTAAAGGACACCGCTCATCTCCTATTTTTTATCTGTGGGATTAACAACAATTTTGAGACAATGGAGGTGTTTTGGACCCTGGAGTCTCTGAAAGGAAAAACACGGAGAGAGGATTTTTATTGTGTGTTTATTTTTAACGTCTGCTGTCATCGAGAGAATGAAACTACTGTGGAGCAAACTTGACAATGTCACAACGGAAGGATCAACAAATTTAACATGTTGGGCTGCTGAAAAGAATCCAGGATAAAGTGAAAGAGGAAAACCCTGACCAGGATGTTATTTTTCTTCACTGCATCATCCATTAGGAATCACTGTAAGTCATGCTTTGTGTGTGCGTGTGTGAAACTGTTGTGTGTGAATTATCCAAAAATAATAATAATGTAAAAGACAAAACGTGTGTGAATGATTGTCCAGGTACTCTGCTGTGATGCTGCGTAAGAGGAGCTGCAGGAGGATGACGTCTGCTTCCATTCCCAACCTGCTGTCATCAACTTTAGATCCTGTAGTTGTAAAACGTTTTGTGAGGAGTTTGAAGAAGTGAGCTGCCACTTTATTTGGACTGTTCTCCTGTATTCCATTAACATAGTGAGGTAAGAGACGTGTGGTTTGGTTCAATGTATTTTTCTTTAGGTAAGAGAAAATACACTGGTTTGTTTTGTTTGTTGTTTGGGCCTGAAGTTGGTAAAACTCCACAAAGTTAATAATTTCACCACTGTAAATAAAATCACTGTTTTATTATATAATCCTGACTTGGTGGCTGCTTGAGTGGTGCAGACGGTGGAATCGACCATGATTAATAGCGTCCAGGCGGCTGTTATTGCACTGGGGTGTAACATCACACAACCACTCCATCCATCTGTTCCTGGCCCGGCCCTTCGCTCCAATTTTAGAACTCGGTGTGGCCCGCGAGTCTAAAAGTTTGCCCACCTCTGGATTAGATAAATCATCTTCGCATTGTTTACAATCTGTCCAGAATGCAGCAGCTTGTCCTTTAACAGCAACTAAAAAACATGAGCACAAAACCCGTCTGCTTCCGGATTGATTTTAAGATTGTATTGCTTGTTTTAAAAGTCTTAAAAGGTTTGGCCCCATCATATTTATGTAATCTTCTTAACATCTACACTCCAATAAGCGCACTCCGGTCTACCAACCAGTTCCTCTTAGAAGACCCCAGATCCAAACTGTAGTCCAGAGGTGATCGGACTTTTACAGTCGCTGCTCCAAACTGTGGAACAGTTTACCTGATAATTTAAAGATCTCTGAGACTGTTGAGACTTTTAAATTTTTGCTCAAGACTCATCTGTATTCCTTGGCATTTGATCCATGCAGAGTATGAAAACAAGTTAGAGCTGATTTTTATTGTTGTTGTATTTTATTGTTAACGTTTTTATGTTTTGTTGAGTGGCACAAGATGCATTTTTTACTTGTTTTAATCTGACTTCAATGTAAATAAATTTGGTCAGCTTTTGTTGTTTTTATGTGCTATAGAAATAAATTGGCATTGACACTGGGCGGCTGTGGCTGAGTGGTTAGAGCAGTCGTCCTCCAATGCAGGAGTTGGGGGTTCGATTCCGCCAGCTGTCACATGCCGAAGTGTCCTTGGGCAAGGCAATGAACCCATCATTGCCTCCGATGTTTGTCCCATCGGTGTATGAATGTGATAAAGTACTGATTATTCTTTGTACACATCTATTAGAGTAAACTATGAATGGGTAAATGACGGCACAGATTGTGTAGTAAAGTGCTTTTTCCACCAACGACATTGTCAGCATTTTGCATTACATATGCATATCTTTCTATCTATCTATCTATCTATCTATCTATATATATATATATATATATATATATCACAATCATTCCATATATATGTGTGTGCGTGTGCATATATACAGTATATTTGTTGATTTTTACATAATTTGGGCTTCCAGCTCATGAAACCCATGAAAACAGGATTTCAAAAAATTAGAATATTGTGAAGACATCAGCCCACACTTCTCAGTGTTTGTAGACAAAAAAAGAAAGAAATTAGGATCACAACAAATCAGTCAAAATATGGTTCTTTCAAAACAATATGTCTTCAATACTTTGTTGTGAATCCCTTTGTCTTAATCTCTGCCTCGATGTGACGTGGCATTGAGTCAATCAGCCTGTGGCATTGACTGGGAGTTATGGAAGCCCAGATTTCCTTGATGCTGTCAGGTCTTCTTTGTTGTTGGGTCTGGTGCTCCTCATGTTCCTCTTGAGAATACCCCATAGATTCTCAATGAGGTTTAGGTCCGGTGAGTTTGCTGGCCAGTCAAGCGCTGTGGCATGGACATCAAACCAGGTTTTGGTGCTTCTGGCAGCATGGGCAGGGGCCATGTCCTGCTGGAAGATGAAATCTGCATCTCCATACAGATCCTCAGCAGAAGGAATCATGAAGTCCTCTAAAACATTCTGGTAGACTGTTGTGGTGACCTTGGATTTAAGGAAGCAGAGTTTACCAACACCTGCACCGGACATTGCACCCAAATCATGACTGACTGTGGATATTTCACACTGGACCTCAAGCAGTATGGGTTCTGTTCCTCACCCTT